TAGGAGCTCTGGTGGCACAGTAGCTAAATCATTGGTCTATTAACCAAAAGGTTGGCAGTTCAAACCTACCAGGTACTCCATGGAAGAAAGATGAGGCAGTCTGCTTCCATAAAGATTTACAGCCTTGGGAACCCTGTAGATATACAGTTCTACCCTGTCCTATAGGATCTACCCTAGCCTCACCTCCTGTCCCAAGTGCCCTGCTTCTCCGTGGGTCCACACTATCCCTAAGCTCCCTCTGACCAGCACACAGACCTTCAAGCTTCCTACAGGAGTGGAAGTCCAGAACACTGCAGATGTAGTTGTTACTATGCTAATGAATGACCATCTTTGAATATTCTATGACAAGAAATCTCCTTGTTTGCAGCTTGGTACCTGGGCTACCTGCATTGAAACAGTGAGGTTAAGAGTCACTGAAATGGCCAGCTCTTCTGCTGTCTGGAGAGCTTCCAGAACACACAGCCCCAGGGTTTGGGGAAGGGTATAGGTGGGCTGAGGTCAAACCTCAGGCTCCTCCTTGGATCTGAGGTGGGTGGGCACAGACCCTGTCCTCCCCACATCCTCTGTGGCCACAGCTATGAACAGGCCAGAGACCATCCCTCACAGATCCTGGACTTCCACGTAGATATGCAGAGCCTGACATCACACAGGACCAGGAAACACAAGGGAGCCCAAACTTCACAGGTGAGCTGGGTCTTTCCTTCCTAGGGGAGACCCTAAAGCAGAGGCCACAGCATGGGGCTGTGCTGGTCTAGGTACCCACACTCTGGGTCAGCTCATGAGTCAGGCCAGTGCATGATCTTTGGGCTTGGGCTCCATTTGGGCTGTGTGAATGGAGCTCCTGGCTTGAAGATGCCATTATGCAGCTAGGGGCTAGAGTCTTCAGCAGCACAATGTAGTCAGAGAATGGCTATGCCGAGAAGGCTGGAGATGGCAATGTCTTTTTAAGGAAACAGGGCAGCCGGGAGCACTGGAGAGGTTCTGAGCAAGAAAGCAGTGACCTAGTGGATGTATGGTTTCCTCTGAAGACCAGAGGCTAGACCAGTCCAGGAAGCAGTAAGGCCCAGGAGGGAGGTATGGACTGGTGGGGGGCCAGGGAAGGACAGTGGGGCTGCAAGAAAGGGGGATTTTAGAGCTGAGGGAACCTCAGGGTCCTGTGAGACTAGAGGTTCTGGAGAGGGAACTGGCAGATAAGGGCCACCAGTGAGCACCTGAGAGTGAATGCAGGGAGAAGAGGAAAGAGTTGAGGCTGGAGGCAGGTCAGGTCACCTCTAGGATCTGGGACCCTGCCTAGAGCTTGGCTTCATGAAGGGCTCAGAACAAACTCAGTGAGAGCTTAGAGCACATCTTTTCTGAAGCTTAGCCTCACCTCCTATCTCTAAAGCCCAGGACCAGGCCTGTATCTCTGAGTTTGCCCTGGGGTCTCACAGTCCATAGTGTGATGAGAGGCATGAGGGGTCTCGGAGACAGCCTGATCCCACTAAGCCTCTGGGGACATGTAGGGCAACCAGATTCAGTCCCAGTGATAAGTTGTCCTTCTAAGGGGCCTGTGTGCCATGAGGTCACCCCACATTTAGATGAGAATAGAAGTAATAGGCTTGCCTTCCCTGGGGAGAAAGAAGGTCAGCAAACACCTGGGCCTGCAGTCCCCTGATACAGAACTGTGGGCCTTCCTCATCCCATCGGCAGGTTCTCAGGTGCCTAGACACCCACATGTGGACTCCCTGGCCTGTCTTCAGTTTCTGGGAACCACCCCCCACTCCCCCCACCCCCACCACACTGCCAACCCAGGTTGTCATGCTGCTTCCCAATGTGCAGGCAGTAGGGAATCTGCACTTCTACCTGAGGACACCAGGCTCAGAGTGGAGAAGTGACCAGCAGGAGGTCACAGTACAAGATCTGGGGTGTGATTGGGCACTGGCATGACACCCATCCTGTCAGTTTGTCTTATCAGTGGGCCTATGGGCTGGGAAATCTTCCTGGCCTCCCCTCCTCGATGAAGCAGCAGGGACTCACACAATGCTCCATGGTCTCTGCCCAGAGGCCTTTCTCTGCGTGAGCAGATGAAGATCCCAGCTGACTACGGAACCATGGGCCTCCTGACTAAGCATCCATCATTGGGCCTGGGTAAGTCTATGTGCTTGGCATATATGAGCAGACCAGGGTCTGCCACATGGGGTTCTCAGGCCCTGACTTGGAATAAGTATCCTACTTCAAAGTGGAAACAAGACTTGGGCAAGGAACTCGGCCTCTAGGCCTCAGTTTGCTCACTGTATACAGGATTAGTGACACCTCCTTTAAGAGTTGTAAAAAGTGTAAAGGATACTGGGCCAGATAGTCCAGCAATCACCAAACCATACCTGAGGCCTACTCCCCAACACATCTGTTATTTTCCCACTGCGAAGTCTGGGGCACAGAGAGGTGCCGTGACTTGCCTGACACAGGTTGCTTTTCTGCCCTTGGGTCCCAATAGGGCAAGGACACGTCTCAGCAGGGCTCAAAGGCAGGCCTGGCAGGGGGCTGAGTGTAATCTGCCTGGCCCTGGCCTAGAGATACCATCTGGGGAGTCAGCTGAGCATGTGGATCCATCTGATGAGGATGTGGTCACTTGGGCCAGTCCTGGGCTCAAAGGCGAAAAAACTAGTCTGGTGTCATTGGCTCTTTACGGAAATCTGTTTAATGGTTTAGGAATGTGTACACTCTGGCTCTGCTAAGTTTCCAAAAAGGCAAATTTTCCAAGTTTTAAAAAATAGATTTGCTATATAAAGATTCATATATTCATAAATAGGTAACATGAAAAATTCCAAAATGCAAATGGCATCCTTGGGCAGGCTGACCACCCCCCCAACAGTCCAGGCGTGGCAGGGGGCAGAAGCTCAGGCTGGAGGGGCCCCCGACCCTGGCAGCCTTCTTGGAGAAGAGAAACTGAATTCAATATGAATTAGGAGCTTCCTGAAGCTCTACACCTGCTGGGGCCTGTGTTCTTGGAGTCAAAACCCCCTTCTGGGAGGACAGAGACCCATCTCTTTAGTTGTGAGCTGTCCAGAATTCAACACCTTTAGGATTCTTGACTTCAAGTCCCTGTCCTTCCCCAGCCCTCCTCTGAGTGTAAAACCAGTCTCCCTCCTATTCTTCTTTAAGTTCCATCACCTGGCCTTATCAGGCCTCAGGTGGCTGCCAGGACACCTCTTGGACTTCATTCCCCTGTACCTCAGCTCCCTGCCTCTGCCCCTTGATGCCACCTGTTCTCACTCTTGGGCAATTTATAAATAAAGGAAGAAATTAAACTGTTCTCTTCTTGCCCCCAAAGGCCCTGGCTGCTTGGAGAAAGCCAAGCCTGCCATGGGGTAGGAAACAGGCTGGTTTTGTTCTCTGTCTCACACTTCCCTAGACAGTGAGGGCCCTGCCTGAGGGGTATTATGGAGGCCAGCTGCCTCTCCACACTCAGGGGCTTGAACCCCTTTCTTAACATCATTTGTGTCTGAGGTCAGATGGGTGGGAGGTGAAGACTGCTTCTGTTGGAGCCTGCAGGAAATGGCTTCAGCCCAGGCCCCAGAGGATACCACCAGGCCAAGGGTGTGTGTACTGGGGGTGGGGGGGTAGGGGTGGGCAGAATTCCTGCTTGCCAGAGGGTACTGTGGACAGGGATTGAGCCAGGGATGGGGCACTTTTCTTCAGAGGTATATCCATCTGGGCCATGTGTGGGATTCTAAACACCATGAATAAAAGGGGAGGGCTGGCCAGGAGGGGAAGGAAAAAAAGGCCTGGGTAGGGAGGCCAGGTTGGCCTGGACAGAGGATACGCATGGGGGCAAGGAAGTACTGGATGGAAGCTGGGGCAGAGCCATGGAGGCCATGGCACCTGGATTGGATATGGAATGCATCCGAGGGCCCCCAGGGCATCTTGGAAGGTGTTAGAGCAAGGAAGACAGGATCACCAGCTCTACCGCTCTGAGAGAATCCCCCAGTTTGGGCAGAGGCAGCTGAAAGCAGGAGGACCAAGGTGGTAAAAATGGCCAGACCAAAGCCTAGGTCTTATCTTTTTGTTTGGGAAACCCAGAAGCAAGGCTGGGACCAGTGACTGTCCTGAATATGGACAAAATAAGGATTTTGGCAGCTGGGGCAGAATTGGGTGATGTTATGGTCTCTCTCAGCCCTGAGCCTAAGGGAGGCAAGCTTTTATTTTTATCTTAAATATTCACTTTCCTATCTCATTCCCTGCACACCAGATTTCTGCGAGCCAGTGCTGAAGAATTAGCTGGTTTTGCAATCTAAGTGGCAAAACTCTGCGCCCAAGCCAGCAGACACTCCCCACTGGGATGCAGCCATGACCCCACACTTGGTGCCAGTGAAAATGAGAAGCTACCCTGGACACCAAAGCACACAGGAAGTTGTATATAAGGCAACGAGCCAGGGTCCAAGAAAGTGTCTGGGAACAGAGAACTGGCAGTGAAGGAAGAAGAGTTCTCAACTGAAGGCTGAGGCTGCTCCAAGGTGGTGACCCATGGGACAGACTGTCAGTCTAAATAGCTCTTATTCTCTGCTACTACACACAGGGGCCCTAGGGTGAACTGAAGACCTAGGTCACTGGCCACATTCCTAGAAAGCAGCTACCTGCTGCCACAGCTGCAGCAAATTCAAGATATGAAATGCTCAAGAGTAGATGTGGAAGAGGGGCACTTTCTAGGCCCCCTGCCCCTGTCCACTGCTGTCCATACTGGCAGCTCAGGCCAGTATGTGAAGACCATGAGGGAAGGCCTTGGGCTGCAGGATAGGTCCACACCCTGACCTTGCCAGCAGCCCTTACAGGAGGTTTCCTGCTTTCTTCCTTCCTCAAAGGCCACTTTCCCACCAGTGTCCAGGTCATGGGAGGGGTAGTTCCAGGACTTCTCCAAACATTCTAGAACCACTGGTGCCCTGGAGGGCCAGCTCAGGGCTTGGTTTGGCAGGCCAGAGAGAGACAGAGGTGGGAAGGCCCGGCCTGTGGACCAGGCACCCCGGTCAGCATCCGCAGCCCCAGCTCTCGCCAATATCCTTGCTGTCCAGCTGGATGTGGTCGGTGCTCTTCTCGCTGAACATAGGGCCCCCGTGCCGCATGATGAGCTCTGTGGCCACTCGCAGGAAGGCTTCCTCCACATTGCTTGAGTCCTTGGCTGACGTCTCAATGGCACACAGGATGTCATAGTGCTCAGCCAGGCTCTGTGCCTCAGCCAGTGGGACCTCCCGTAGCTCACTGAGATCAGACTTGTTCCCTGCAAAGAAAGGCAGATGGCAGCTTGGTGAGGCCCAGAGATGCTGGCAAGTCTGTCCTGAGACCGACAGTGTTGCTGTGACTCTCTGCCAGTTAGAAATAAGCAGTGTGTATGGTAACCCATCTTTCAAAAAAAAAAAAAAAAATTTATGTTTAAGCTCTTACTTTATCCTCTAATTCCTCATTTTGTTTTCTCTTTTTTTATCTTTACCAGTGAGCTCTGGTGGTGTAGTGCTTAAAGCATCTGATTGCAAACCAGAAGGCTGATGGTTCAAACCCACCAGCAACTCCTTGGAATGAAGACTGGGCAATCTATTTTCACAGAGATACTGCCTCGGAAACCCAAGGAAGAGTCACTATGAGTTGCGATTGACGACGGCAGTGAGTTGTTTTTTTTTTAATTTGCCTTATGAATTTTTTTGTTTGTAAGATTGTGATTTTGATTATTTTTCTTTTCTGACAGGAAGAGCATGAGCTATCACTTTGAAAGTGCACCTTTGGTTCCTCCATCAAATTTGAGATGTTTGTATTACATTCTAAAGAATGTGTTGCCTAAAGCATGTGACTGCTAACCAGAAGGCTGGCAGTTCAAATCCCCAGCCACTCCTCAGAAGGAAGATTGGGCACTCTACTACTGTAGAGATACCACCTTGGAAACCCAAGGAGGGGTCGTATGAGTCTGAATCGACTTGACAGCAGTGAGTTTGGTTTTTTGGTTTTGACCCAGTTACTAAAATAATTTAAAAAAAAATTTTTTTTTCAAGTCTCTAAGTGATTGACTGACTTTGTAATATGATTACAGGGTGGACCAAAACAAACCAAACAATCTATATACAAAGATCTAAAATTTCCTTGGTAACTATAAATGATCCAGCAACCAATTTCAATGTGTGGACCTTATTTGGATCCTGGGGAGCAGCAGAAAACTACACGACACTTATAAGCAATTATAAATCTGAACCCATATCAGATATATGATGATATTAAGGTAATATTATTAATATTTTTTAGATGTAAAAATGGTATCAATATTATATTTTTAAAAACTGTTTATATCTTTTAGCAATCACATGGAAACAGAATAACACCCTCCTTAAAAACAACTGGGTAATAGAAGAAATAAAAAATGAAATAAAAAAATTACTTGAATCAAATGAGAATGAAAATACAACATACCAAAATCTCTAGGGCACAGCAAAAGCTGTGATCAGAAGACAATTTACAGCAACACATGCACACATCAAAAAAGAAGAAAGAGACAAAATCAACACCTTAACCAACAACTTCAACAACTAGAGAAAGAGCAGCTAAAAACGTTACAATCACCAGAAGAAAAGAAGTAATAAAATTCTAGCAGAAATAAATGAAACAGCAAATAGAAAGACAATAGAAAAAAATCAACAAGACGAGAAGTTGGTTTTTTGAAAAGATTAATAAAATTGACAAACCGCTGGCAAACTTAACAAAAGAAAAGAGGGAAATAACACAAACAACACAAATAAGAAACGAAATGGGCAACATCCCAATGGAACCAACTGAAATAAAAAGGATAATATCAGGATACTATGAAGAACTGTACTCCAACAAATTTGAAAATCTCGAAGAAATGCATAGATTTCTAGAAACATATTACTTACCTAAATTAATACAGACTGAGGTGGAAAAGATGAACAGACCCATAACAAAAGAAGAAATTGAATAGGTCATAAAAAAATTACCAACAAAAAAAAGCCCTGGCCCAGATGGTTTCACTGGAAAATTCTACCAAACATTCAGAGAAAAACGGACACCACCTCTATTCAAACTATTCCAGAACATAGGAAAGGATGGAACCCTCTCAAATTCTTCTTATGAAGCAAGCATAACCCTGATACCAAAACCAGTCAAAGATACCACTCAAAAGGAAAACTGCAGACCATGAATATAGATGCAGAAATCTTCAGCAAAATTCTAGCCAATAGACTCCAACAACATATTAAAAAATAGTATTAATACATTACAATCAGGTGAGGTTTGTATCAGGTATACAAAGATGGTTCAGCATTAGAAAAACAATCAACGTCATCCATCACATAAAGAAAACAAAGGAAAAGAACCATATGATCGTATCAACCAATGCAGAAAAGGCATCTGATAAAATCCAACACCTATTCCTGATAAAAACTCTCAGAAAAATCAGAATAGAAGGAAAATTCCTCAATACAATCAAGGGCATATATGCAAAACCAACAGCCAACATTATTCTCAACGTTGAGAGACTGAAAGCACTACCCTTGTGAATAGGAACCAGACAAGGATGCCCTCTTTCACCACTTCTATTCAACATTGTATTAAAAGTTCTAGCCAGGGCAATAAGGCAAGAAAGGGAAATCAAAGGCATCCAAATTGGTAAGGAAGAAGTCAAATGATCCCTATTTGCTGATGATATGAACCTATACCTAGAAAACCCAAGAGACTCAGTCAAAAAAACTACTAGAACTAATTGAGAGATTTAGCATAGAGGTGAGACACAGGATCAACATACAAAAAGTAGGTAGCATAGTGGCTAAGGCACTTGACTGCTAACCAGAAGGCTGGCGGTTCAAACCCACCAGCCACTCCTCGGA